GTCAGAGGGTCAGTGCTGAGGGAGTGCCGCACTGTCAGAGGGTCAGTACTGAGGGAGTGCCACACTGTCAGAGGGTCAGTGCTGAGGGAGTGCTGCATTGTCGGAAGACCCGTAGAAAGGGAATGCTACACAGTTGAAGATGATGTTACTTGTTGATACTTTAATCTGATGCCCTTCCAAGTGCACATAAAAATACCAAGGCACTATTTTGAAAGAAAAGGAAGAAATTATTTGAGATAACAAGGTGTAGAGCTGGATGAACACAGCAGGCCAAGCAGCATCAGAGGAGCAGGAAAGCTGACGTTTCAGGTCTGAACCCTTCTTCAGGAATTATTTGGTCACTTTCAGGTTGTTGTTTGTGTGATCTTGCTGTGTATAAATAAGTTTGCTGCCGTACTGCTGCCCCTTTTGTTCAGAATTACTACATGGAATGCAAAGCATTGGAAACTCTTTGGGCTAGTGGAAGGTGTTGTAGAAATACAAGAACTTTCTGTTATTCTGTGTTTGGGCTATATTTCTTGCAGTCCCTGGTGACCTAAATCCAGTCAGCATTGGCCTCAGGATCTCAGCAAGAGAGAGGGAGAAATTAGCCCACGGTTTTGTTTCAAGTTTCTTTTCCAGTGTGATTCCTGCAGTGAGGAATGTGTGAGTGTAAAAAGAGCTATCAGAATCTTGCTGACAGTACCAAGCCCTGTCACTATGGTTTGAGGGGAATCAGGGATTAGACAAGAAGCTGCCTTGGGCTGATATTATGGAGTTGGGAGCCAAGAATTTGAGGCAATTCTCACTCGCTTCCCTGAACTGAGTGTGTAATCATGGACCGTGTAATAAATCAGCAGCAGAAGAACCACCAGTCTCAGCAAATGCTTAATAATTCATTAACTCAGGCCAGTAGTCAGATTACATCAGCAAAGTCCACAGAGCCTAGCACGTGGACTGGAATAACTAACTCAGCAAATTGATTTTAACAAACACTTTCTACTCTCTGCCACTACTCCCTGGAACAATCTATCAACTGCTGCCTCACACAGTCGATCAGCTACTTTTTTGGAGTCGATCTACTCCCCCTCATCCTGTTAATCAGCTGCCCGAGCCCACCCCCAACCTCACACATTTGACATATTCCCTTCTCTCTCTCACAAAATTCAACTGCTGCACCCCCTAACAGTCGTTCAGCTTACCCCCTGCCCTCCACAGTCGATCAGCTTCCACATTGCCTTCCCCCACAGTTATTCAGCTTCTCCCCTCCTCCACAGTCAATCAGCTACCCCCTGCCCCCCAAAGTTGATCCCTTCCCCCTTAACCCGAACAGTTGATCAGCTTCCCCCTCCCAT